CAATTCAGCATTGTTTTCTTTGGATAAGGTAGAGGCTCAGTAATTTTGACATAAATAAATTTTTATTGATTTTCAAAACAGTATTTTGTCTGATAATCTGAAAAGATTAAAAAATTATTCTAAATCTCAGAGTCTTTAATGGATTTCTTATAACCCCCCCCCCCTTCTCTTTCTCTTTCTTTAAGAATAAAAAAAAAGATAACATATATTTGACCAAGGGAGGTTTTCAGAATTTTTTTATATATACACCATACATTTTAGTAAAATTAAATGAGATTTGACAGCAATACAGGCACTAAACAGAGCTGGGAGGTAGCAGAATTCAGACACGGAAACCTTTTTAAAACCATGATAATTATCATAATCAAACATAATTCGTTTTGATGGCCCCAGCACCAGTGATGTTACTTGGTGACCCCGGATGCAAATTGACTTTTGTAACATCTAGCCACACCCAGAAATGGGTTAATTAATTACTAAATTTGTTTGTTTGTCTCACATATAATTGTTCCTGTATTTGTTTCTTTTCACTTTTGTTTTGCAACCAATTTTTGTGTTTAAGTCTATTTAATACACTAGCAAGGATATATTGATGTGTGTGTGTGCATACTTGTATCTGTGTGTGAGTATGTGTATGTGGTGGAGATAAAATATTACCCTAACACAGCTTCACAAACACGTAGCAGTACTACAAACTCTCAAGTGACATTATTACCAGTAATTCAGTTACAAAAACAAATACAAGAACCTGATATGAACCAATAAAAGGCCAACTGGTTATTGTCAAGATATCAACCTGCTGCCAATTGCAGGTATTATTTAATTACACCATGCAGTCAATAGTAGGGATAGTTTGGTTGTATTGGTGATTGGTAATATATCGCAGAGTCACCTGAGTGTGGATGTGAAATTTTATGAGTGGCTCCTCGAGAACTTGCACAAAAATCTTGACTAAATGTGTTTTTTTTAGTTATAATATAATTTCTTCCTTTTGTTATTGGATTAGTTATTGATTTTTATTATAATTATTATATTTTGAAAGTGGGAGGTATGGTAGCCTTTACTAAATCCCTTTATCATTTACTTATAAGAAATAATAATTTATTCTAGGTTTGTTGATAGTTGGAATGCCAGTGATAAGATTGTGCTGAGCTCTATGAGCTTATTTCTTTGCTTATCTTTACTTGTTAAAATGTGTGCAGTAGAGCCTCATTGTAACCCCACCCCCGCCCTGTGCTGTCCTGGCACTCACCAACAGCCAATCAAAAGTTACTGTGGTGTCATGTGACTTGAAGTGTTTAAAAGTTTTGTGGCAACCACTCCACTGCAATAGGGCTAATTGAACTCTTGAGGGTACAGTGAAGGACCTTATATTTTATGAGTATAAGCAGAGTAACAAAGACTCAGATATAGACTGATGTATACTGGAAAGATTTGACTGGGTTGGATGATGGAAGGGGCAGAATTTGAAGTCATGACTGATATTTTAGGGTGAGTATTTTTTTGGTTGTTGAAAAAAAAAGGTTGACGTTAACACCAGGCATTTTCCTGGTAGGCCTGGGCATTTGTGGTGGGGTTTTAGGGGTTGGCGTGGGGGGGGGGGGGGACTGAGAACAGGTTAAGAGCCACCTGTTTAGCTGGAAAAAGTCTGCTGAAATAACTGGCTACAGTCCTGTATAGCAATTATATTTTTTCACCTGTTGATCAACATAAAAATACTGCATTATGTTCATGTGTATAGTTAAGACTGAATTAGTTGATATAGATACTTGTGTGTAGAAAAACGTGTGCTGTGACTAAGAGACCGTTCACATGAAAAATCTATTTTCTAAAAATCTAAAAATCTATTGGCGGTACCTAGTGATCACGGTCTGTGCCCTGAATACCCCGCTGCGTAATTAACTAGCAGAGCGAGCGAGTTACTTCCAAAGCTGTTTTTAATTCTCGGCTGCACTCGGAGGAGATTCTCATACCTTGACGCATGCCCACTAGGAAGTTACAAAAGTAAATGGCGGTCGCAGTTGCTTTGAAAAATGTTTGTCGATTTTGTGCAACAACAAGCACTACCACTAGCCATATTACGCGTCTGTATGCTTAAGTTGTCAAAACTAAACTGATGAACTCCACAGCTTAGAGATACTACTGCGTATGTGTCAAGGTGTCAGAATCTCCTCTGATCGAAGCCGAGAATTAATTACAGCTTTGGAAGTAACTGGCTCGCGCTGCCAGTAATTACACTGTGGGGTATTCAGACCATGATCACAAGATACCGCCAATAGATTTTTAGAAAATAGATTTTTCATGGGAACGGTCCCTTACATTGCTACAAAATAGAAGCATTTTCATTGACCCATCATTTGGACTTCCAATTCCAGTTTTAGATGCTTATATTTTAAAGGAGATGTTTATCATACTAGGATCATGTGGAGCTTGGATTGTCTGTCTTTAGTAAGAGAATTAATTTGGACCCTTCGAATTATTATTCAAAACCAAGGCTGTACCCCTTGTCACATCCCAACACAATTGTGGCACATCTAACACATTTATTCTACTGCAGGAGAGAGAGCATTGTCATAAATGTATTTTACTTAACATTATATATACAGGGGCGGATTGAGACCGACTTCTGGGTCTCCCGGAAGATGGTCTGATTTTAAAGTTTACTTTGACTGGTATCTATTTTTCTTCTGTCAGAAGATGTTCAAAAATAGAGGATGGATCAACAAAGATAATTTGGAAGACTGTCAGAAAATATCTCTGGATCCACCCTGATATATGCATATTGCATAGTGAGCGGCATATTTAACATGTTAGCCATTGCAAAAGTGCATTTCCGATCGGGGCCGTAGCAATAGTCCGAAGGTCCAATAGTCTGAAGGTTCATTGGTCCAAATGTTCACCACAGAATCTTCGGACCAATGAACCCTTGATTAAAAAAAACGATGAAAATGTTACAGTTTTTCAGACCAATGAACCTTCGCCCCCTTCAGATCAGCCGAGGGGTTTTGTATGAGTACTTGTACATGAGAAGTCTGAATAAATGGGTTTTTTTCCTTTTCACTTTTGTCCCAGAAGTGCTAATTTTTATAACTGGTAAATGTTAATTTACCTGATACAAAAATAAAAAGATAACATTATAGTGGTACATTTTTACATAGCATGTTTTTCTGCATCCCAGTGCCATGGTGAGTAGCCATGGTGAGTAACATGCTGTTTTCATGCTCAAACCCTCGTGTTGATTGGAGCGAAGGTTATAATATGTAGTTAACAATTGGCATACGTATTTACGTCATCTACATTGACGCAATTCCACCCTATTACGTTTTAGGAACATCAGTTTTATTTCAAGCAGGAAGTCTAATCAGCCAATTTTCTAAGTAGTGTGATGTTGTGCATTAAAGATTAATTGCTGTAAGTCTATTTTTGAACTTTGTATGGAATATGAATCACAGAAAATACAGCATTTTGTAAGTCTTAAATCGTGATTTATGTGCACTTTTCTATAAGAGATGATTGACACCTTGGTTATGTGGAAACCTGTTTGTGTTAACTCCCCTCACCCCCCAATATGGTACTAGAGCCTTTGGTACTTGTGTTTTCATTATGAATATTTTTAGAGGTCCACTTTCATCTCTGATGTATCAAATCTATATTTATATAATAAATATATATATATATATATATACACTGGCTGTTAATTAGTCATGTTAATCACCCTGCTGCAGGTGTCAAATTCAAGCTAGGCTAGCCTTACAGTGGCGGATTAAGGGAGAAGGGCCCCCATGTCTCCCCCTTTTTGGTTAAAAAAAAATTAGAATTTTGACTAGCTGAATCATAGTTCGAAACTGTACCAAATGGCACCATTTGGCCTTTTAAGACAAAACAATGAAGGGGCCCTTGAGCAGGCCTCACACCCTATGTCAAGGGGGCAAGGGTTGGCTTCACATGTGAGGCTATCATTCCTTAAAAAAAAAAAAAAAAAAAAAAGATACCTCTGCAAATAACCCTGTATCCGCCCCTGCCTTAGGATTTTCCTAATGAGGATGTGGCATTCAGGAAAAAAAGGAGATACTGTGGAAGTCATCTAGGTTATCCAAGTACATTGTTATTGTGCTAATTGGGTTGCTAACAGATACGGAACATCAAGACTAAGTCCTTGATTATTACTTAACGAGGCTTTGACAGCCTAGCAGTTTACTTGCACGAACATATGACGATTAGAAGGTTCAGGGTACGGATGTTACTGTTGGCTACGTTACAGTGCCAGTGCTTCAGCAAAGAAATTCATCAGCTGTATTATGAGATATTGGAGTACAAATACTTACATTATTGTTTTATGAGATGTCAGATGAATTGAAGGGTTCTCAGACATTAAACAGATTTTGAATGTTGCTGTTTATTGCTTATTCCAGCACAAAAATTCATCAGCTGTGAGAGGATATTTTTTAAAGATAATTTAAAGAAGCTGTTATAAACTCTGACAAGACAATATATATAAAGGAGTTCTTCAAATGCTTAACTCTCTTGTATTTGACTGGTTCCTTTTGGAATCTTGCCATTCACTTAATTTTAAGATTTGGAAAAATTCCTGTACGGATTTACTAACAAATAGGCTGCCTACCTCCTCTTCGGATCTTAATGTATCATCGTTAGCCTGCTGAGTATTCTTAAGGATTATAATTTTCAATCTCATTGGAAAGGAAAAGTCAAGATTTTGCCCGACATTTTTTTCCCTCCACCAATTCCTATCCCAAATCCTGTAACCCCAGTCCCACCTGATGTATTTTAATTTGGCATCTCATTGGAAAGGAAAAGTCAAGATTTACCAGTCATCTTTCCCTACCACCCATGCCTCCCCCAAATCCCTTAGCTCCAACCCCATATTCTAATCTTCACCTTCAAGATTTTATGAAGGGCTAACTATTACATTTCTACAGATTCAACTTCTCAACATCCCTTCTCTCATATAGATATCTATAAGATTTTTGTTTGGTTTCGGAATGCACAAGGTTAAAGTCAAGAAAACTAGGTAAGTTGAAACAGTGCAGTGGTCAACATTGATTCTTTGTCCATTTTTGTGTTTCTTTATAAGCATATCCCAGTTGAAAAAGTACCATGAGAATTGATCAGACATGTCGGAGAAAGTTTCATAGGAAGTGAAATAGTCATGCCCCTAGCAAAATGTCAGGCCTGCTGCAAATTTGCAGTGAATTTGCAACAAATTTGCTGCAGTATTGCTGCAAACTGTCATTCTTTCTTGCAAATTTGCAGCAAAATGATCTTTCATGCAAACTCCTTCAAACTCGTTGCTGCAAACTTTCAGGTTTCATGGTAAAAGGTTCACTTTTACAAAAAAAAAAAAGAGGCCCCCCCCCCCCCCCTTTGAAATTGTTGGCTATCTGTATGGGCCTGGGATAGAACACCAAATCCAACTGCAGGAATGAGTTGTGAAATAATTCACTGAGATGGAAAAAATTGCTTAAAACAAATTTTTACGACGGGAAATTTCGATTTGGCTGGAAAATTTCCAGATAGGATGCTGTAAACTAAGCATAACAATATTGATGTCAAAATTGTCATCCACAGGAAGCGAGGTATGAAGAAGACGGGAAGCAAGGCTGACGGCAGTGGAAACAAAGTCACACAGAGTCAGCCACAGGTTTCACAGCCACAGTTTCCAAAGATAAAGTTCCCAAATATGACTGCCACCCTGTCCTATACACACGTGACCCAAGCTCAAGTAAGTGGTGTTAGAATGCGCATGTTGGCCTGTGTGTGTGTGTTTGTGTGCAAGTTTTGTTGAATATAGCCCAGAGATCGGCCTCAGTTTCAGACCAGACATTTCTTCTTACTGATAACTTTAGTTCAGATAATTCATTCTATATAAGTTACATTGTACAGTGTACCTATAAACAAGAATTTAGTACAGTATTTATATGAAACTTCAGCAATATCTTTCTCTTTAAAGAACAATGTTTTATGTTATCATAATAAGTATTACTACAGTAACTGCAAGTAGACTCTAACTTTGTCTAAAAGTTGTTTTGTGGGACATACATTGTGTGCATGTTCAGAGTATATATGCAGCATTGCCAAAAGTCACAGCACTCAAAAGATAGACAATTGGCTGATAAAAATTATCTCCATAAAGGAGTTTATTTTTCACAACCGCGGTTGACTTGTAACTTCACTGCCTCACCCAAAAAGTTTTGATGACAGGCTAAAAGATGTTGGAGACTTTGGCTTCTTGAAAACAGAAGAAGTCCTCTACAGGGGCGGATCCAGGGATATTTTCTGACAGTCTTCCAAATAATCTTTGTTTATTCATCCTCCATTTTTGACCGTCTTCCGATAGAAAAAATAGATGCCTGTCAATGTAAATTTGAAACTCTGACCGTCTTCCGGAAGACCCAGAAGACGGCCTCAATCCGCCCCTGCTCTAGAACATCACATGTAACCAAGGAGATGACGTAATGAATGAGACAGTATTGACTGTTAATACAGTGGATATAGTTCTGGTAATTCAAGTTCTGGATTAACCATTGTTTTCAAGTGAATAAGATCATTAATTGAAGCTTTTATTGGCAATTCTTTGACAGTTTTGTAAAGCATGACTTGAGAACATTGTGTGATTTCTCTTTAGATTAATTCCCAAGTTTATTGGACAAGTGCTCCTTAAGTAACCACCTAAAAATGATTTTTTTTTTTAAATTGAAGAGGTTTCCCTTATAGTATTGGCTGTTGTCCTTCAACAAAACAGAACATTGATTATGAGTTTTGTTTAGTCAGTTGCTAGGGAACATTCTGTTTTACATGACCAGGTCTTTACTTCTTTTAAGAGAGGACAATTTTTCTTAAAAAGAGGACAAGTATTCTCAGCATTCTCTATAATATATGATCGGCATCCACTACATATTGATATAAAGTGTGATTGTGCAAGTATAAATTTGAAGTTTTATACAGCCGGAGTTTATTGACCATAAAATAATCAAGATATTGTCCAAACTTTGAGTGCTCTGCTTGAAATCACTTGTCAGTCCCCATAAGAAGAATTAAAACTACAAATAAATGCACAACAGACATAGTGATTATGTAACTTATGAGTGAGAATTTACAGATATAAAGTAATAAGTAGTTTAACATGCAGTTGAGGCATTTGAAATGATAATAATAAAACTGTCAATAAGTACTTGTTCATCATTGAAATTACCCTTCTTGTGTCACATTATGAACTTAGATTACATTTTGAGATATATGTAGCCATGGAAAAAATAAATACCAGCTCATAGGTCAGTGTTTTAATGTTGGAATGATTTGTCCAAGTGCACAGTATTTACTGAAGATTACAACAACGGATAAAACCAGATTTGCCAAAGGGTCTTTTTGCCAAAGATTACAGATGTAGGAATTGACATGCTGTGTTATTGACTGTGGTATTAACATAAAACTTTGATGCTGAGTTGAAAATGTCTGGCTGTATTTCTGATTAGATATTGCAAAGACTTTCTCAGAAATGCTCAAAACTACTGAGATTTTGCAGGTCATTAGTTAGATTTTTCCAAGACATAATTTGTCTGGTGAATTTCTAATAAGACATGCTGTAGTAGTAGAAAGCTGGAAACTGTCACACAAGGTCTGATAACTCTGGGATGTGATCAGACATTTTACCAAGACAATCTTTCTCTGAAATTTAATACCAATGAAACTATCAGAGATGATCAGAAATACCCAGTCAAAGTGACACAAAGTCATTTTCAAACTATTTTTGACTGAGTCTGTTTTCGATTACGTAACCTGATTGGACTTAGATAACATTGGACTTTGCTAAAATGATCCTCAATTTGACATTGGAGCTTGGTTTAGTTGGCAAATAGAGCCGTGTGGATTTTACACCCTTCAGACTTTTTTTTTAAATTTATTTATTTATTTTTATTTATTTATTTATTTATTTATTTATTATTATTTTTTTTTTGGGGGGGGGGGGGTCGGTTATTTCCCAGTATCTGCAGTCATTTACTCCAATGTGCACTCTTCTGTTTATGTTGGGGTAATTACTAACTATTTCCCATCATTTCCTATCAAACTTTCTCAGATGTATCTGCTCATATTCTCGTGGTACTTTTTCAGCTAGACAGTCTCCTCCATACAACAGTGCAGAGTGTACTGTAATCAGATGTGTTGACAGTGTTTACCAGGGACGGATTCAGAGATATTTTCTGACAGTCTTCCAAATTATCTTTGTTTATCCATCCTCCATTTTTGACAGTCTTCCAACAGAAAAAATCAGATACCCCTCAATGTAAACTTGAAAATCTGACTGTCTTCCGGAAGACCCAGAAGACAGCCTAAATCCGCCCCTGTTTACAGCTTATTATCTTTAAGCTTTTGTTAATCTTCTCCCTCATGTAAGATTGTGTAACATGTGGCCATACATTTCCGTTTGCATAATGTGACATGTAGCAATGATTACTGCTAGAGTTTTACATTTATTTTGTAATTATTGCTCTACAGACCCTGAGTTTTATTCAGAATACAGCCACAATCACCTGAACTATGCGTATGCCTTTTATACACCACAATTACAGTTATCATATATATTATGCACTGGAGAGAGAGAGAGAGAGAGAGAGAGAGAGTTTAAAGTGAATCAGCTAGCGAGATATTGTAAGGCAGAACTGCCTTCAAGATATTTTATCTGGTTGGGGCACGTACGTATACCTTTTTCATAATGTATCGTTAAATATGAATATTGACCTTGGGTTTGAGTTGTTGCTTATGTAAATAGCTGATTGTTCAGTAATTACCACCCTTAGGAAGTCATCAAAGATTACTTCTTGCTGTGCTTTATAATGATGACTCCAGCTACCACATATATTACTGTTTCTATGAATCACAGGTGGTATTTAATATGTTTGGTAATTTACTTATTTGTTGCTTGATTGCTTCCTTGATTGATGAATTGATTTTTAACAAATTGTTTTAAAACTGGTTTGATTAATTGAGCGATTGAATTATTTACTGATTGGTTATTAACTGGAATTGCCATCCAAAGTTGATTGATTATTATTTTTTTTTTTTTCTGATAGATCAATTACTAGGGTAACCATTCTCATTAGGGGGACGTGCAGGAATCACATTGCTTCCATCTGTCTCACCTAACACATTCTACTGGCACAACCAGAAGCAATGTCCACAACCCTCCACTTCCAAAGTCTGTTATCTAGATATCTGGGTGTTATATTCCCCCCCCCCCCCCCAACCTCTATCTCTTCTGTCCTTATCACCTTTTCAAGATTTTTTTAAAGTTTCGTTTTCTTCTCTAATTTAAAACTTCTTTTTTAAAAAAAATAATAATAATAACTGTTGGGACTTCTACTCAGCTGCTGAAATTGGACTTAATTGCGGAAAGTTGACTTTCAGAACTGAAACTTTACTCATGTTCATGTTTGATTATCTCAAATAAGTTTTTAAATAAAATACTGTGTAAATATGTCAATATATTTTTTTATCGTTATTGTGTCTCAAGAGTGAAAAAAATGATAGCAGTCTTAACAATTTTATAGGCATGGGTTGCATCCAGCATTTGTGTTAGCTAGAACTTAGCTTGAAAACTGAAACTTCCTTATTTTCATGTCCAACTCTATGAAGCGTAATAACCACTTGAAAGACAAGAGCTAGTTAGAAAAGAACCCATGTCTGTGATTTCTCCCCATTGTGTTCCACAGGTTTAAAGCTTTGTTTTGCATTAACTGCCAGCAGTCATGAGTAATTTAATGGCCGCAGCCTGCCAGAAATTGTAAAAGCGAAAAAGATCGGAAAAAGAAAAATAGGCATGTCAGGCATGTCAGTTGAGCACCAATAGATGCTAGTACAGAACACATGACACCTCAATGGGGCCCTGCTTGTTATAGTTAATTGGACGTGAAAGTAAAATGTTGTAGCACTTGAAAACGGTTTTACTCATTAAATTTTTACAGTTGGTTGGGCAGTTTTTTTTACTCCTGTTAGTAGTTGAACAATGGGAAAATGTAAGGGAAAAAAATCCAGGCTCCTTCATTGAATAAAAGTGGGCAGTGGTTTGCTGATTAAAAAAAATCTATAAGTAAGAAAAAGTTTATGTTAAGTTAGCATACCCCATAAATTACCAAAATACCATTTACTATATTAAAAATGCATGTACATTTCATTAAGATATGCAACTGTGGAAATAAAATGAATGGAAAATCTCCATAGGAAAAGTGTGTAATTTAATGTCATGTTGCTATGGCAACAGCCATCACAGTGATAGAGTGGTTGTAGGAGGGGAGAAGAGGGGTTGAGACATTTGTTTACATGGCTTTAGGAGGTCATAAAAGCTTTACTTAATGTAACCAACACTGGGCATTGCCTTACTGAGTTCTTATGTGTTGGACTCCCTTAATAAAGATAGGATGGAGCAGGCCTGTAGCCAGCATTTTCAAAAAAAAAAAAAAAGAAAAAAAAATGGTGGTTGGGGGGCTATTTCAGAAATAGTAGACTGTTTACAATGAAGCCTTTGTGGACTTGGATCAAATTTTTACCCAGAGGGGACTTTTTCCAACAAGAAAGATGGTGCGTTCAACACCCCCCTCCCTCCCTGAGCCTCCCTTTCCCCTGGCTATAGGCCTGGTGGTGGTTTACTGTTCAAACAAAATCTATCTTTTTGGCAGGAAAAGATCCACTCTGGATCAGTTTCTAGATGTCATTTTCTAGTTGGTCAGC